GACACAACCTACGCAATAAGTGATGCATTGTCAAACCGTTTTGACAAAGCGATCTGTTAATAGACTGGCGTTGTAAAGCTCTGTGCATGATAGAAGTTAGTGTCAATTAGTTCTCCAGATTATGTGACTCTTCACCTTGGTTTAGGGGATTGATTAAACAAATCTATATGTTCTTGTCTTGGACACTGTAAGGCTCCAGTAAGGGCTCCACTAAGGAGCCTTGTTCTTCAATCAGTCAAGCATCGCCCTACTGAATCCTGAATCCCAGCTTAGATACTAGAGTAAGGAATATGATCTCACCTTTAAGAGTTGGTGGGGTGAATTTGAAGGGTCATGTCACTATTCTCCCTGTTCGCTGAGGCGGATCACATATGAGGTTGGTATTATTGTATATAGTGTTGAAGGGGTGCGTATAAATGCTTCATAAACCTTCGCTGTTGGAGAAATTTTCCTCACGGTGACGTTTTCATATCAGAAAAAGAATCCTCTTTCATAAACTTTCAAAGTATAAAGAAGGATGAGCTGCGTTATGGACACTTGGCTGTTAGGATCCCGTTACGGCGAAACAAGGTAGCAGTTGCACCTATTTTGTAATGCGTGGATTTCGTTACCGATATGTGGCACATAGTATACCCTCTTTGGCTCATTTGTAAATTTGTCTAAGACAGAGTTTCTGTGTTTTTGTCAGAGGTATCAAAGAGGTTTATAGCTGGCTGGGTTTTTCATCCGGGTAATCCCGACATCTGTCAACTACTCACGGAGCCTTACACTCGCTGGTATCCGATTGAAACTGATCCTAGAAACGGGCAGACATTGTCTCCAAGTTGAATAATGAAAACAAATATGATATGATTTCATATAATGGGTTGGTAGGATTTGAACTATACTGTCTGCACACAGTTTCAAGATAAACGACTTTGGAAGAGTTGATAAATGGGATCGCCGTTGCTACAAAATCGCGTATTGACATTTTCATTGAACCTCAGTCCAACTGACAAGACACGGCACTGCCTCTGATTTGAACATTTGTCACACAAAGAAATAAATAAGCGTATAGAACGACTTAAAAAACTGTAAAACATGAATAAATGCTGAAAAGAATTGAATTGAAAGATTTTTCAAAAAGCAGAGTATAGAATCAGTATGCAGAAGACGTTCGTATTTTAAACTTTAACTGTAGCTTAATGTTGCAAACACTTTTGTGCCTGTTATCAATAGAACAGAATAAAATCACAAATGTGTTTATGATGGTGACACTCTGACTATAAGTATGAAAGGACCAGCCCCTGTTATTGAATCTCTGAAATGTCAAAACGCTGCTCTGTCGACAGTAATGACGCATGACATTGTTCTGTTGTATATCTATAGTCGCACACATTGTATAATCTAACACAAAGTTGCACAGGCAGCATATTGAAATCGTGAAATAATGCAATAGACATAATGGTTGCCGATAGATTATGTTGGAGTGTTAGGTTCATGCGTTATAATAATTGTTATGTTATTCTTATTATGGTACTGTTGATGTGGTCTACGGGGACTCACAGCTTGGAGGTGGGGTGAGATGGAATGGAGTTCAACGTAGTGTGTGTTCGTACTAGTCGGACTAATGGTAGTTTATAGTGTGCTAGCCGTTCAACATGGATCCCCACTCAGACACAGTATTCTGACTCCGAGCCGACCAGACCTTGTTTGTCCCTTCAATGCTGAGCAGAGCAACAAAAGCATCATTTTTTAACTACATATATTTTTTATATCTTTTTTTTCGCGACTGGGGATCGAACCACCGAACTTCCGTTCTCCGAGCATACGCTCTATCCACAAGACCAAGGAGGCGTCGTGAACGTAGTGAGAGTGCGTGCATGAGTGAGTCGTTATGAACCATATTCCAGTATATCACACCATACACACACACCATTCACAAGCACACACACACACACACACACACACACACACACACACACACACACACACACACACACACACACACACACATATATATATATATATATATACACATATACACACACATACATACATACATACATACATACATACATACATACATACATACATACATACATACATACATACATACATACATACATTACAATAAAAATGTGCGCTTAAAAAGTATTAAAATGTTATTTGTCTCAGGTCATTGGTAAAAGACATAATTTCTTTGCATATACCAGTGTGATGTCAAGACGCTCTCCGTGCTGCATTATGTGAGAGTTCCTCGACACCTTCAGGGTCGCTGACCAATATGTGATGTATTATCTCGGGCACAATACTCCCGCTCCTGTGTTCCTCGTCTCGTGTCAGCGTTTCACCAGTATCACAATACCGTATTTTATCATCTTCCCAGAATTCATTACATCCTTGCATGTTTACATCCTGAAAATAACACTAAAACACCTCATTGGAGGACGCGAGATGCGTCAGTGTGATAACATACATTATCAACGTAAACTTCAATGCACAATAGAACACACAAGATCGTTTGTCAGCTCCACTACAAACCTGAATTGGCTTTGAAACTCATCACAAAGCGTTCTTACACTTCTAAATCTCCTAACAAAACCACCAATTGATATTTTAAGATATAATCATCCCTTTTTAGAAGATGAAGGGAAAATTAACTGTTTTATGGGAGTAATTTCCGACTACATTATTGAAAATTGCTTCCTGCCTTAAAACCATTTCGCTTGTGTTGCTTCTGACATAAGAAATTAAATTTTTAAACCTCGACACCCGTGCCGAACATTCTAATTCATTTAACACAATCACAACATCTAATTTATGTGCATAATCAAATTCACAATCACTCCTACGATCAAAATTCTCTCAATAAAGCACAAACAGGTTGGACGCGCAATTAAACACCCTTAAAGTGTAATGGCCTTCAAGATTCATATTAATCACAATTTATTGACACTAACAATATTCGGCGTCTAGTATTTCCTTTATACACGTTAAACATAACCAGTATTCTACAACAGTTCGTTCACTACAACCATTTTCTCGAAAAAACATTACGCAACAAAAGTGATGATTCAAACGCGATGGCTCGTAAAGAGCATAAATGAAAGCTGACTTGAAGGGGAATAATTTCGCAAGTATGTAAATAGATGTATTCTAATTTCTTCACCCGTTTCGAAGTGTTCCTATATACAAACACACGACGATAAATGCTCCTCCTCATCCTTGGAGAAAGGAAAGCTCTCTGAATTACCGCTCACTCCATAATTCTTTAGATTATCGTGTTTTCAAACTTGAGATACGACCTCTGTGGAAACTGACTTCATTTGCCCCGTGGGAACGACTCGGGTGATAAACTGCACCCTGTCACTTCTCTCAGGCTGTGTGTATGCATGTACACCCACGTCATACAAACATTGTTAATTACGCTAGAAAAGTGATAATTTCAAATATTTTTAAGATGTTTCCATTCACAAGCCATTCAATACTTCATGTATCATGGCAATATGAAGCGCATTCATAATTAGTATTGATTATTTATGTTTTATGTAATTATGCTGACGGCAAATGCAATTTTATTAATTGTACCGGCATACAAGTTATGCATGACAGCGCGGTAAAGGAGACGCTGTTTTTATTTTTTCATCCATTTATATTTTTTAAATCAACCTCACGATTCATAAACACATGCTCATAATATGATCGATTTTTTACAATGGAGCCTGCTTTCAGCAGAATCCTTTTTTATTACTATGGAAATGGTTTTAACTGACGACACAGGATTGATCTTTCCACGTGCGTTTCGTGCACAATGTGACATTTGACGCAGGTGTATATAAGTGAGTTGGTATTTGTTTACGCCGCTTTTAGAAATATTCTAGCAATATCACTGCAAGGGAGGGGGGGGGGGGGGGGGGGGCGCCAGAAATGGGCTTCACACAATGTACTCATGTGGGGAATCGAACCCGGGCCTCCGGCATGACGAGCGAACACTTTAACTACTAGGCTACCCCACTGCACCAGGTGTATATAAGTATGGAATGGAGGGTTCGCGAGAGTACAGTTTCCGAGCGTGGAACTTGCTGTCTCCTTGTTCTCGACGGCAAAATCATATGACCTAATGGTGTACAAAATGTCATTTTAATCATATACAGATATACCATCAGCTATCGTCCGTAGACGAGTTTGGATAAATGGGGTTTCAGTGTTTACTGAAGCTGATCTGCGAAAGCCATTGTCGTTATTTCATCAACGCTATCATATAAATACCAATTACAACCTTCCTCTTTGTATCGAGAGCATGTGTCGACCTATAATGATGTACTTGCCGACATTTGTTATTCGATATAAAAAGATGTTGCCATTGTCGATAACAATCCTGCCAATTGGATATAAATCATTTAAAATTCCATTTGGCGACATTTCATATTTACTCAACACCCATATTACATCACAAGGGTAAACATGCTGGGCTATTATAGATTACTATTACGGGATTGCACTTAAATAGGGGTATACTCAGTTTAATTGTTTCTTTATAGTCCGACTCGCCTTGCATCAGACAATTCATTACACTTCCATTAATCAATTTCACATATACAACGAAATATACAACAAACTGAATACTGTCCCTTACGTATATATACTGTTATTGATTACCCTTGTCAATTTCAATAACGTCATCATCCCTTATTGATTTCACTAATTGACACATTGCTGTCTCATTATAAACATGTTCCGTCATGCGTCTTCTTGCAAAGTCATACGACGGCACTCTCAGCAATGTACACGATGTCAATATGCCTGGATATAAAGTGCAACAAAATTTCTTCCTCAAATCAAACAGACAGCACTCTTCATGCCCCAGAGCTAAATCATATCACGACGTTTGCATGGATATGAACAAAACAGTCTCCTGACAGCCAGGTTCAGATTGTATTCTCATGCAAAAATAAACTCGGAGGTCTCTGGGTTTGAATCGATAGCTTGAGACTGAACACCTTTCTTCAGCCATAGAGGTTTTGTGAGCATGCGCACGGCGCGCCCTCTAGCGACACGGCCGAAGCATACACGGCGGTATATGTGTCAATGTGAGGACACAGACTAACGACGGCACATGTTCGCGGACTCGGATATATGTTTACTTGAATTACAAAGGACAGGTAAGTTGATTATGGTTGTCCACTGTCAGTCTCCTTGTATATATCAGTTGTAGTAGTCAGGTAAGGTAGATCCACACCTGTAGTACCTGTCAAACAGATAGATATGATAACACGCTTTACCCTTCCCCCGAAAGGTGAAAAGTAAACAAATCAGATGTGCCTTTCACGGGAACAGCAATATCACCTTAATTTAATAACTTATTCAAACATACTTTGAGGTCATATTTTAGCCTCGACGACCTTAAACGCAATGTGAATATAACAACAGGTAAATAGTAGTTCAACCCTGGTTAGTTTTGGAAAGGTAGACTCCGTACCATATAGAGTCATATGTTATCGTGATGGGACAGGCCGCTTTAAGACTATGGTTGTAAACACTGTGTTTACTATACACACACAAGCATCCCACTGGAGTCTGTCCCCTTGGATACAGTTCACTGAATCTTCTCTCAGTATCTGTCACAGCGCTTGACTGAACACAATTCAACGCACCCTCGTATACTTCCGTACAAACCCATCGTTAATACTGTAACACACAGTACATTGCAATAATATGTACCGCACGGTTCAAATCCCTCATTATCAAATCAAAAAAGGTTTTACAACACATGCATCGTATTTTTCATTTCAATCTTTGTTTCTATGAAATGCATTTCAATTATTTAAATCCTGAATTTGTAGTGCCTGTATAGAAAATCACGACTAAACTATGCAAGCCATTTCAAACATCGTTCCGGACCGTAAAATACATATTAGTAGCGATTCTTGTGTTCAAGTGGTACCATTGCGTGAGAGGTGACACTTAGGGTTAGTTCCAAAAGCCATCCCGTATGCTTAAGTACACTTTAGATTGAAACACTGCACTAATGTCATACATATTTCAGCATGTCGATCGCATTGCAAGGACATTATAGAAAGCTAACTACATGTACATAACACGTCAATCACTTTACTCAGTTGATGTGTGTACGTCAGCCAATGCCTAACTTCATTCCGTCATAAAAGCAATATGTTTATTTCTAAAAGCTTTATTTGAATCTTTGATCTATAATATAAAAGACGTTTGATCCAGATGACATTATAAAGACATATAATTGACATTAAATCACTATCCTTTCTTATGAAAATTTGAACCTAGTCAGGACATTAAAACCATCCAGTTTTTAAACTCCTTTTTATCTATCTTTCGAATCAGTTTTATTACTGTAAATACGTATCTCTGACATCAGGGAATGTAGTGCAGTCAGTGGTTAATCCACTATCGTGACACTGTAAGTCTCGAGTGACGTATTTTAATAGCCCATTTGATACCTGTCACTGCCTTTACTTGGGCGAGGTTGAGTCAATGTGTATTAAATGACACTTTATGTTTTTTCTCATTTTCATTGAAATGGCTTGCCATTGTCAAATTGTGAAATATGAGTATGTTTTGTGCCACGCTTGTACCTTAGTCTTACACTAGTTTCAGCAGATACGAAACAGCCCCATACTTAAATATGTCGGTAAATCCTATTCAGACATGAATCAAAATATAATTTTGATTTTTAAAAATAACGCCGGGACATATTATTTAAAACCTGTAACTGCCCCTTTAAATACTGCCATTCCTGCCAGTGGCTGTGTCGGGTACTACTACTCCAGCCTACTACTTTCACTAATTGCTATTTCACTTTTTTATCTGAAATAACATAAAATAACAAACCAATTTTCATTTTCAATTTTAAGAGACACGATATTGAGTTAAACCAGAGTTCGCTTCCATCATTTTCTCATTTGACTGTCGATACTCAAGAGCAGCGGCTAACATCAGAAAGCGTTTGAAAAAACTCTTCTTCATGTTTTGCTGCAAGTTCGTTTTGAAACCATGGCGCCCCGAGCAGCAGTTACGTAACACTGGATGTATCGACTGGAGGCAAATGGTATTTGTCTGCAGCTTGTCTCTCCCTCTGCTTGGTGACGACCAGCGTGTTTGTCAATGTGCCCCAGATCATCCGGCATTGACGTCTTTGTCAACATTCTTGAAGGTGTAATGGCAGCCTAGAGCCAGGCTTGCGACATCGTCGACCAAATGATACTTTTGTATTGAAATGATTAATGTAGCGTCTGTCCACACGCTCCGGTTTGTATTGTAAGATTTAAGTGACGATTTAAAATGGTGAGTTATGTGAGTTAAGATTTATTGTCATCTCGGCAGTATTTCAGCCATATCGTGACAACAAAAACTTCCTAAAAAACTGTCAACAAAATAAATGACCAGAGGTAGATGAAAATGATTATTTTATTTACAGACATATGCATCTGGGTAATGTATATTAATACCTTACGAGAGAGAGAGAGAGAGAGAGAGAGAGAGAGAGGGAGAGGGAGACAGAGACAGAGAGCGACACACACACACAGAGAGTATATGCATATTATACCCGTGAATTATAAAAAACATACAGAAACGAGTAACTATACTGTCATCTATTTTAATGTAACTACTTCGCAACATACGAAATATTCATACATTCTATCTATGTTTATTGCGTTGTAGAGAGAGAGAGAGAGAGAGAGAGAGAGAGAGAGAGAGAGAGAGAGAGAGAGAGAGAGAGAGAGAGAGAGAATATATGCATATTATACCCGTGAATTATAAAAACATACAGAAACGAGTAACCCTTCTGTCATCTATGACAACATATTGTAACTATTAATTAGTATTTTAATGTAACTACTTCGCAACATACGAAATATTCATACATTCTATCTATGTTTATTGCGTTTTAGAGAGAGAGAGAGAGAGAGAGAGAGAGAGAGAGAGAGAGAGAGAATATATGCATATTATACCTGTGAATTATAAAAACATCCAGAAACGAGTAACTCTACTGTCATCTATGACTACATAATGTAACTATAATTATGTATTTTAATGTTACTACTTCGCAACATACGCAATATTCATACATTTTATCTATGTTATTTATTTTTAGTCACCATATGGCGACATGGACTCTCAGCGTTGTCGAGCAGTTGATGTTTATCATCATGCATCATGGATGTATGTAACGTGATAGCCATTAATTACATTCAGACTTTTAATATTCTCAAACCTATAGTGATGTGTTATAGCTTAGCTGACATCGCGGTTACCCTGTCACAACATGGCTGGGGAGGCTTTATAAACGTAACGGGCCACGTAAATAAAGTCATTCAAGTGTCAAAATATACCGTGACATTTTGGCGAGGTTATTTAAGGTTACCAAGTAGTTGCCATGGATGTCCTACTGGGCGATGAGTCACGCCATGGTAGTGGATAGTGCAGTGGTCAAGGTCAGTCCCGTGCAAGCACCCCAGGAAGTGGACATCGGATTTAACGACTGTGTTGATTATCAAAGGTGCTTCTTTGAAAATAATCCTCTATCAACCATGCAACTTCTGAATCGTGAATATAAAATATATAGGACAACGTCGCTGGCGTCTATAAAAGATATGACAAGGAATATTATGGATAATAACTTCTTCTTTATTACATACATTACGTTTAAAATTCGTGGCCACTCCTGGCCTCTTCATCATTCCCCTGATGAAGGGTCAAGAGTAACCCTGAACTGTGTATGTGTAATAAAGAAGTTGATATCCATAATATTCCTTGGCATAATTAACCCCACTTTAAAATGCCTGTAAAGACTCTAAAGTATTCAATATTTTTATTGTGGGATGAACTAGTCATCAAGGCTTTCACACAGCAGATGATACCATGAATTGAATCACACTCTCTCAGAAACTGATATAGACTGAGAGACTGATATTCGTAACCTTTGCATTCTCCACATGAAACTATTATTTTTTTTAATCATTTACAGTTGAACTTAATCGCAACTCAACGAAAACAATTTATATTTTGTACCATTTATAATCCGTTGAACAAAACTTGTATTTATTAATCGTTAACGACGTGTATGACATTGATCGTGTCTTATAACCTTAATCGTTTTCTGTGACAAATAAGGCTATCTACTTGTTGACGTGTAGAAGGAGATGATGAATGCTGTCTGCATGTTATGTGCATAGTTTGTGCACGATACACACGACGGGTCAACTAGCCTCTCAATCTCACGCCAGGGCGAGGAGTTAACAATATTCACACCAAACTTCATACCGAAATCGGCTAAACAAACATGTCATTTCATAGACCAGAGATAGGGTTTCTCATGATATCATTCATGTGAATAAAATTCATTTACGAATCAATAGCTGTACACACCCAAATGCTGCTAGCCCTGTGCCTGTGATCAGAAAAAATTCAAAGTGGAGGGGGAGGTTAGGCCTCCTTGTCTAACACCCCTGCGTTATCTCGGGGCACCAACAGAGAGGGTTTGAAACATGTAGATCGTCAATGGGGAATGTAGAGAGGGACAAATTGTCAACGTGGAAACACGGGACGGTTACCCCTGTTTTGTGTGATTCATTCCGAATATTTCTAATGATGGTCTGGCGGTGGGAAAAACGTGTTGTTGGTAGCGTTGGCACAGATGAATGAATTTCACAGTTTTATTCCATAAATGTTATTTGTTTTCTGGAATGAACCAAACGTATTAATCAAATGTAAGTTTTGGATGGCGTTGAAATGGAACAGTTGATTCGTTGAGTCACATTTTGTTTACCTATCTGGATTATAATGAAGTATAAAGGTTGACAATGACTGATTTAGAATGCACAAAACACGTTTACTCGACATGTCGTTGAAGACATTAAGATCGTTAAATCGAACTCCGTTAAATCAGCAATATCACTTTAAAGTCCCGGTAGAATTGTAATCAATAATATGATCTAATATCGATCTGTCCTGTCCTTTCGATTCACACCCAGTACGTACTGTAAGAATGTAATAAGTATATATATTTAATATATTTTTCAAAGTGTATATATGTTTCGTACACAAAATCGTCTTGCGATCGCGACTTCTAACACCAGTATACGAAGTTAAGATCAGATCAAATAACCAAATGTATTGACCACATTTC